TATGCAAAAAGCTTACCACATAAATTTTGTGCTAAATTTAATACAAATATCCCCTTAACATTCATCAGGCTTTCAACCTCTAATCCTGCCTAGGTCATGATATAATAATCAAACTTTTTCTCTTCCTTTAGGCAACTTCTCCATGATGCCTTTCGTGACCAACCCCTTTTTCTCTTAAACCCTCAGTAGTCAACTGTACATACTCCTCATCCGACATAAGTATGTATGGTCCATCTCTTACATGGTTGTTTTGTCATATTATTTAACCGATCCTTAGTTCATGTTGCATCTCCCCAACTTGTTAAAACAAATGCCCCACAAGGCTATCTTTGTATATAGTAAGTATTGAATAAATGTTTGTTCAGTTAAAAGGGAGAGACAAAGAAATGTGTTCAGAATGTGTTCAGAAATGTGTTCAGGGTATTCCAAGCCAATGTATTATATGTACCATTTTATAATAAATCTACACCACCAAAAATCTCCTAAGACTAAAACCTTATTTACAAAGTCTGTCAAAAATTTCCACTGTCTATCTTAAGGGCCAGTAATTATCAAAAGATGGTGGGAAAGAATAAAGATGTGTGGTTATTTCTGATGAGTAACTGTCAACGAACATGATTTTCCTTGGAATAATGAACTGTGGCATAGTGTGGTGTGTGTACAGCAAGCGTGTGAGTGGTGCCACTTACCTGCTCGGGGCACACAGGGTTCATTCCTGGCATCTGCAAAGAGCTCATCTGCATCTGGCCCATCATTGGGTTCATGTTCTGAACATTTGTGTTTCCACCTGCCATGGACACGGTGATGCTCATATTGTTGTACACTCCTGGCTGTGCAGGTGTGGGCTGGTTCTGGACAGCTTGACTGAACACACTGTTAACTCAAAAACAATCCAGATTACATCCACTGATCAGGAACATGGGGATGATGTGACTGGATTCTGATTGTAAATTATTAGATAAAATTCCAAATAAAATATTTCACATCCTTAAGTTACATATAAGACTGTATCTTATTACAATATATAAGAATTGAATATAATTCAGACATATCTTGAACTCTGTAGCTATGCCAATGTTTTTCGAAATGTAGTCCAGAGATCATCTACAGGAGAATTCCCTGAGACTCACTGACAATTGAAACTCCTAGGTCTTACTCGAGCCCTAGTGAATCATATTTTCTGGGGTTGGGTACAGAAAGGTACATTTTTAACTATTTGTACACATTATAATTTGAGAGCCTTTATTCAATGTCCTACAGCTTGCTGTCACTTCTCAAGGTTTTAGCTTCTGGCTGCTTTCAATATGCTATAAACTAAGAAGAAACCAGATGTATATAACCAAATGTTTTATTTGGCAAATTTAATCTTCTTAAAGACTTCAAAGGTCTTCTCAGGCCTCAACATAGATAGCTCTATGTCCTTTCTAGGAAGCAAAATACAAGGGCAGTTACGTTTTTCAGAGGGCTTGTTTTACTGATTTCCTTCTTCATGGCCAAGTTCTGGACGGTTGTTATACCAAAGATCTCAAATGTGAAATCAGTTTATTAGTAAATAGAATAGTATGAAATAAACTCCAAGTAAATTCACCTTGCAACTTTATATTTGAACCCTGAAAATTCTCAGTGATACAGATATACACATCTAAAGGAAAATGATATGTGTTTTATCTTTCATAGGTTCTACAAAACACCAAATATTTTACGAGTATATATCAACTGTTAACAATAAACCGCTGGCAAAATTCCACCTATTTTAATGTTAATTCTAGAGAATCTGATTTCAAAAATGATTTTCCCCATCATTGTTTATCTATTCCTTGCTAGCACTAAGGTGGTAAGTAGGATGTACTGACATTTACAGCTTCCAGTAGATTAAGGTAATCATACTGAAATTAATAGGCCAAGAAACAGCCTATTCATCATGTCTAAGAAAGGTAGCAAATTCCTCCCCCGCGCCCCAAGTAATTACAAAACACAAATGCCCACAGAAAATATGCCTAGGAAATGGTCAATAATGTATCTGTGGACCATTAATGTCTGCACAGTGTGTATGCTTATGGCACAGTGTTCCCACATCTAAAGGTGAGGAAAAAAACCCTATTAATCTATGCTCATTTTCTAATGAGAACATTTCTGCCTTAGACAATGCTCATTTGTCAACTGATACATAAATCACTACAGTGGAGGAGCAAGGCTGTGTAAGTGAATGCATGCGGAAGCTTCAAGGACTGCAATGATGTCATACTTCATGAAAAAAAGTTTAGGGCTTAATTTGCTTTCAAATTTATATTTGGGACTGTATACTAGCTTAAGTTCTTTCAAACTGCTCCTGCCAATTGTTCCATTTTGGCTTCTTCCATCACAGGAAGATGACCAAGCCCTTCTGCAGCCCTCAATCACTGTCCCGGGTCCTGGAAAGACAGCTGGGTTCACTGGCACCTTAAGCCCAATACTCACAGGCCCTCTCCCTCACTCTGCTTTCCTGTCTGCCTTGTGGCAGTTATCACAGTTTTCTCAGGGTAGCTCCAGTATTCAGTAGTCACTAAATCCTTGGGCAAAAGAGGATGAAGACTGTGACCCAGAGTGGGTTCCTCAGCTATTACAGGTATTAACAAGCAGAGAGGAGTCCATGGTCAAACAAGTCAGAGAAACAAAAGGTTAAACAACAGGACTTCTCAGGCTTGAAAATGCTAATAAGCAATGGGACCATCCCATGACACAAGTCTACGTCTAATAAGAAGACATTTAAGGAAAGACTTGAGGTCTGAGAGACAAATCATGTGGCTACTGAGGGAACAACATTTCAACAAAGGGATTAAAAAATGCAAAGGCCCTGAGTTTGCAATGTACTTGGCACACTGGAGGAACAGAAGGATGAAAAGCAGCCAGTGTGGCAGAGTGAGTGATGAGAATAGCAGATGAGGTCACGGAGGTATCCAGGAGCAAGATGATATATATGGGGCTTTATGGGCCCTATTTTGTATTCTGGGTACTTCGGGGGCTACTGGAGAGCTGAGTAAAGGACATAATGCCTCATGTTTTTTTTTTTTTTTGAGACAGAGTCTCACTCTTTTGCCCGGGCTAGAGTGAGTGCCGTGGTGTCAGCCTAGCTCACAGCAACCTCGAACTCCTGGGCTCAAGTGATCTTACTGCCTCAGCCTCCCGAGTAGCTGGGACTACAGGCATGCGCCACCATGCCCAGCTAATTTTTTCTATGTATTTTTAGTTGTCCAATTAATTT